GAAGAACTTTGCACCACAAATAAGTCTGTTAGAATATAAATGTACAAACCTATTAGATTGGCAATAAATTAACTATTTGTAGTATAAATAATAAAAAACTATGTAATGTCTCAGTAAACGTGTTCAAATGAAACTATAAAGAGAATTTACTAAAATGTAAGTTAAACAACAAGACTTTAAAGTGTGAGGATGCATTTGACATGAAGAGTAATGTGGGTTCATTTAATATCAAACAAAAACAAAAAGTAATGTGGTAATCTAAAAACAGAACACTGTCGTCTTATTGCTGTTTGTTTTGACATTCAGCAAGTCTGAAGTGAACTTGGTGAGAACCCAGCTGAGGTTGGAACCTCAATTTCCCCGACGTGTCGACCTAAATCTGTCTGCGGCATTTACTTTGCATCAAGAGCTGGAATGTATAAAGTAATAAAGAATTTTGCTTATTTAGTTGATTCTTTACCAAGGATTCCTTCATGCTGGATGAGGATCCTGCTGCAACATAAAAACAACAAAAATCTGTCAGAGCTTTGGAAGCTCTTTGCAGGGTCTGGCAGAGGTTTTCAGGCACATTTTATGAATAAATTGAAGGATTTTGAGCAAACAAAAACTTTTGTGGCAAGGTTTCTGTGGAGCTTCAGGGAGGATGGGAGACCCTGGGGCATAGGGCCTGTGAGTGGATTGGTCATCAAGAATTCGTAGGACTGTCCACAGTGGTCTCATGCCTAGACTACATCATCACATCTAAATCGCACCAGAAGCCCTAAAAGTATATTACTGCATGGATTTTGGTGGTGAATCTGCCATTGCCACTCTCACAACAAAACAGAACGCTCTCACTACACAGCTGGAATAGGCAGCTCTCCCTGTGACATAAATTAATGTTATGCTTAAATGCCCTTTATTCACTTTTTTGGTTGCAAGGCAGAAATCCTATCATGGTCAGGCTTTCAGGAAGAGGAGGGAAGATGAACAAAAAAGTCCTTCACTTGTATCCTCCCAGGCTTCTGAATGGTGTTTCCTCCCCCACAGCAAGACTGAAACTGATAATGAAGATTCAGAAACAACTGACTTATACAGGAAAACTCATGACAAGGACATAGAAACAACTATGGGAGAGGCAATGGACCTCATGCAAGAACATGTTCGTATTCTTATCCTAAATTTCTCTTACTTTTGTTCATACGAACATGCCACGTCAGATTCAACAAACTCTTTTATCTTCAGGAAAAG